TATATTTGTTGTTTGTCTTAGTAAAGTGGGCAAATTAAAAATACAGTGGTTAAATTAATTTTTTTTTTTATCTTGCTCTGTTTTAAAAAAGGTTATAAACAATGTCAATAATTATCGATACCGAACGATATGAAACATATATCGTTGATATATTTTTTAGCTATATCGCCGAGCCCTAGTATGTATGAACATTGGCACTGGAACACCATTAACGGTTCCTCCTGCTTTGCTCGTGACTTTGAAAAGTGGAACAATTTCTCTGTAATCTCTATTTTTCAGCATCACAGAGAAAATAATGAATTTCTCCATGCATCACTGGCTTTTCCATAATAACCCACAGCTTTGCTTCTATTATATTGATCAGTGGGATTGCCTTAAGTGGCTGTGTTGTTTCCAACCATCCTTTCCCTTCACGACACCACCAAAGCCAGCCTATTTAATTATCCTGCATCATGAATCTAATAAAAGTTCTCATTGGAGCACTACGCCCGCACACACACATAGACCGCCAAGCGAAACACTGCTGTGTTCTCTGCTCGTCTCCTAAATTAAAAGCGACATCAGGAAAATTGCTATAATGTCTAAAATTGAAAAAACCTTCTCACCCAGTAGCCCAGCCTTCCCTTCCCTTCTCTCTCCTCCCCGCTCTGCTCTCTAGAGGGATGGTGACTGGCTAAAATATTTTATGCCTTTTTTAACCTTCAAATCCATCTGCCGGCCAGGAAAAAGGTCACTGTCTCTCCACGGAGTATCGATCTCATTTCCAGAAGAGCCAATGGAGAGGGAGAGTCTTACGCAACATTGGATGTTGGACAAGGAAGTACATCCTCTAATGGCGGGCATCAAATCTCTTTGGGTGAAAGAAAGGACAGACGCCGTCTGTGTTGTGTCTTTAGTATTTGCAGACTCTGTTGGTTGTTTGTTTTTACAGTCACAGCGTATTTGTGGAAAGCATGTGTAGATCTTTCATTCACTATCTTATGATTTTTACAGGGTCGTGGAAAATATGGAAATATCAGGGAATTGTGGTTTCCAGGCCCTGAGAACTCATGTTTCAAATGTTTAGAATGAGTAAATGTTTTCCATTAATTTATAAACTATTTTATTTAATATATATATATATTTATCTAATGAAATACTTTTATTAATTTATAAAATATTTAATTAGCTAGAAATTGCTTTTTGTGAGTGTAATCTCAATAAAATGGTTTCTAAAAATTATTATTAATGAAACAAGCAGAAAATTGACTACATTGTTGGTAACACTTTACTTAAAGCTTTTATGTATAATGCATTATAAAAGTAGTTTTAATTTAATTATGCCTTGCAATGCACATTAATTGTACAATTTCATTAATAATTGTAACCCTAGTTAATATATTATAACTATATATTATATTATATACACTATGCATTTTAAATTCGGTTACAATTATTTATGACAAGATATAATGTATTACAATGCACATAATAATTATAATGCATTACACCCTTTAATAATAATCCTTTATAATGCATTATACATAAAGGCTTTAAGTAAAGTGCAACCAAATTTTTCTTCTAGTTTTGTGCCTCTTTAAAATGTTTGTCTTGCAATTGCTCTTTATAATTTCAAAACTATTTTATAGTTATTGCACTTACAAATTGCACTAAATTCCATTCCAAAATATTTACTATAAAAAACTCTGACTTTTTCAGTTTTCTGTGATTTATAATTTCAAAACTTTATTTTATAACCATGGGTGTAAATATTGTTTTCACTCTATATGCAACATAAAGCCCTGAAATAGCATGTCCAATGGATGATACAAGAGGATATTAATAAGTCAGAACAATGAGCATTATTATCAGGGATTATATTGGCTATTTCAGAAGAATTGACATGTCTATATCAAGTCTCACAGCGAGTGTCACACCTACCTTAAAAGCAGGTCGCCCCATTGATATTGGACTGTGGTGATCTCATATTGTCTGTGTGTGAGAGGATGTACTCTATCCGAAGCTCACGCATCTCTAATCCTGAGCCGGACCCCTGGAGATACGAGTTGTAACATTCTTTGATGGATGCAGGACTTGAGCTGTCTGAAATGGCATAAAAATAATAAATTAGATCTTTATTAAATATGCATCTGTAAGGCGTATACTTCGTTTGGTGTTGCTCTGCGTTTGGGTTCTGGCGAGATCTGGGATGTCAAGGCTAGCGGTTCAAATGATAACGTTGAGATGGATATTTTCTGATGCAAGTTTATTTGATGTAGATATCAACATTT